GACGCAGAAGAAGCAGAAAAACAAGAATGGCTCCAAGAAGAATGACCGCACGCCCAGCAAACCCGGGGTTGAGGGGCCTCCTACCCCTGGTTTGCACTGCTCACTGGGCGGCACCGGCGAGAAGGAGAAGGAGAAGGCGGGGGGGGGCCCTCGGCTGAGAGCGCATCGAGGGCAAGGGCTGCATGGGCACGGACGGCAAGGTCGGGGTTGACGAGATGGAGGACTCGTTTGAGGACCTCGCCAAGTGCACGAACCTGGACTGCGCGGCTGCGCTCGAGGACGACGAGCAGAAGGCTGGCGAGCTCCCTGAGGCGCCTGCCTTCCCGACGTTGACGTCGGGCACTGTCGAGGAGGAGTCCCTGCTGGCCCAGCTCAGCGAGCAGGCGCAGGTGTTGCTGAGGATGGGGATCATCGACAGTGCCATGGTCGACCACATCGACAGCTTGAAAGAGGCCGCCATGGGTGTGGCCGAGAAGGCTGCCGAGGAGGGAGTGGAGCAATGAGGGGGAGGCGTCAGGGGGGGGGACGGCTTCAGACAGTGGCTGGGTTTCTCTGGTGGTTCTCTTCCCTGGGCCTTCCTGGGCTGGGGCCCATTTTGGGCTCGCGCTTGGCCCCCATCCTGGGGTCGGGCTGTTTTCGGCGCATTGTGCACCCCCGCTGTCTGGATTCGTCAACTCTCCTGACAGCGCCGCGACCGTCGCGCCGAGCGCGGAAGCACCCGCGACGTAGTCAGTCCCGCCAGTCCCTCCTCCTCCTCCTCCTCCTCCTCCTCCTCCACCTCTTCCTCCTCCTCCTCCTCCGCCTCCTCCTCCTCCTCATCATCATCATCATCATCAGCATCATCAGCATCATCATCATCATCATCATCATCATCATCATCAGAATGAGGATCCTCCTCCTCCGTCGCGTCATCCTCCTCCCCCTCCTCCTCTTCTTATTATTCGTAGTACTCCTCCTCCTCCTCCTCCTCCTCCTCCTCCTCGTCCTCCTCCTGCTCCTACTCCTCCTTCCCCTCCTTCATCCTTCCTCATTCCTCCTTCCGCCTTCCTGCGTCCGCCATCCTCTTTCCTCCTTCCATCCTCGTTTATCCGTTCGCCTTCATCATTCCTCCCTCTTCCTTCCTCCTTTCTCCTCCTCATCCTCCTCGTCATCAGCAGCAGCATCACCATCATCATCAGCATCAGCATCATCATCATCAGCAGCAGCATCGTCATCATCATCATCCTCATCGTCATCATAATCAGCAACATCGTCATCAACAGCAACCGCATAATCCTCATCATCATCGACATCCTCAGCAGCAGCATCATAACCATCATCAGCATCATCAGCATCGGTATCATCAACATCGGCATCAGCATGCTCATCATCATCAGCAGCAGCATCATCAGCATCGTCAGCATCATCAGCATCATCAACGTCAGCATCACCAGCAGCATCCGCATCATCAGCATCGGCATCAGCAGCAGCATACTCATCATAATCCGCATCCTCATCCTCATCATCCGCATCCTCATCCGCATAATCCTCATCCTCATGCGCCTCCTCATCCTCATCCTCCTCATCCTCCGCCTCCACATCATCCGCTTCCCCGTCATCTTCCGCGTCGTCTGCCTCAGCATCCTAATCATCAGTATCGGCAGCAACAGCAGCGTCAGCATCAGCAGCATCGAAAACACCAGCATCATCAACATCAGCAACAGCATCCGCATCATCAGTATCATCGTCCGTACCAGCATGATCAGCATCATCATCAGCATCAGCGTCATCATCATCATCAGCAACACCATCGGCATCGTCATCGTCATCAGCATCAGCATCATCATCAGCAGCAGCATCATATGTGTCATCATCTACATTAGCATAATCATCATCAGCAGCACCATTATCAGCAGCAGTATCGTCATCGTCATCATCAGCATCCGCATCTGCATCAGCATCAGCATCACCATCGTCACCACCATCAGCAGCACCATCCTCCTTATCAGCAGCAGCAGCACATCACCACAATCCATCAATCGTCATGATTAGCATCAGCATATTCGTCTTCCTCCATCTCCCCATCCTCATCTGCCTCCTCCTCCTCAGCCTCATCCGCCTCCTCCTCGTCCTCATCATCCTTCTTCTCCTCCTCATCCGCATCCTCATCTTCATCCTCCTCTGCATCCTCCTCCTCCTCATCATCTTCCTCCCCCTCTTCCTCCTACTCCTCCTCATCCTCCTCATTCTCCTCCTCTTCCTCGTCCGCCTCCTCCTCATCCTCGTCCTCCTCCTCATCATCATCATCCGCCGCTTCCTCCTCTCTTGTCCTCCTCATATTCCTCGTCTTGCTCTGTTTTATTGTCCTCCTCATCATCATCTTCCTCTTCCTCCTCGTCCTCATCATCTTCTTGCTCCTCCTCCTCATCTTCGTCCACTTCTTCCTCCTCTTCGTCCTCGTTCTCGGCCTCGTCCTCGCCCTCCTCATCCTCCTCCTCCTCCTCCTCATCCTACTCCTCCTCCTCCTCCTCCTCGTTCTCCTCCTCCTCCTCCTCCTCCTCCTCCACGTCCTCGTCCTCGTTCTCCTCCTCGTTCTCCTCCTCCTCCTCCTCCTCCTCCTCCTTCTCCTCCTGTTCCTCCTCCTCATCCTGCTCCTTATCCTCCTAGTCATCCTCTTTCTCCTCCTTCTCCTTCGCCTCCTCCTCCTCCTCCTATTCCTCCTCCTCCTCATCATCCTCCTATTCCTCCTCCTATTCCTCCTCCTCCGCCTCCCTCCTCCTCCGCCTCCTCTTCCTCCCTCTTCCTCCTCCTCCTCCCTCCTCTCCCTCCTCATCCATCCTCTTACCTCCTCCTCCCCCCCGCCTCTCTCCTCCTCCCTCCTCCCTCCTCCTCCCTCCTCCTCCTCAATCCTCCATCGTCCCTCCACCCTCCTCCCTCCTCCCTCCATCCTGCCTCATCCCTCCTCCCTCCTCTTCCTCCTCCTCCTCCTCCTCCTCCTCCTCCTCCTCCTTCTCCACATCCTCCTCCGCCTCCGCCACCGCCACCACCTCCGCCTCCGCCACCGCCTCCACCTCCGCCTCCCCCTCCGCCTCCGCCTCCGCCTCCGCGGCCTCCTCATCCACCTCCTCTTCCTCGTCCTTTCTCCTCCTCCTCCTCCTCCTCCTCCTCCTATTCCGCCTCTGCCTCTTCCTCCTCCTCCTCCTCCTCTCATCATCATCATCATCCTCATCCTCATCCTCCTCATCCTGCTCCTGGTCCTCCTCCTCATCATCATCATCCTCGCCTCCTCCTCCTCCTCCTCCTCATCTCATCATCATCATCATCATCATCATCAGCATCATCATCATCATCATCATCATCATCATCAATCAGCAGCAGCATCATCATCATATCATCATCATCATTTTCCTCCTCCTTCTCCTCTCCTCCTCCTCCTCCTCCTCCTCCTCCTCCTCTTCCTCCTCCTCCTCCTCCTCCTCATCCTCCTCCTCCTCCTCCTCCTCCTCCTCCTCCTCCTCCTCCTCCTCCTCCTCCTTCCCTCCTCCTCCTCATCCTCATCCTCCTCATCCTCCTCCTCCGCTTCAGCCTCCGCCTCCGCCTCCGCCTCCGCCTCCTTATCCTGATTATCCTCCTCCTCATCCTGATCATCCTCCTCCTCATCCTGTTCATCCTCCTCCGCCTCCTCATCCTCCTCTTCCGCCTCCTCCTCCTCCTCTCCTCCTCCTCCCCCTCCTCCTCAGCATCACATCATCATCATCATCCTCATCCTCCTCCACCGGTTCTCCTCCTCGAAATCCTCCTCCTCCTCCTTCTCCTCCTCCTCCGATCATCCTCCTCCTCCTCCTCCCTCCTCCTCATCCTGCTCCCTCATCTCTTCCTCCTCATACAACATCCTCCCCTCCTCCTCCCCCTCTCCACCGTCCTCCTCCTTCTCATCCTCCCTCCGCTTCCTCCTCCTCGTAATCCCCTCCTCCTACTCATCATCCTCCTCATCCTCTTCCGCCTCCTCCTCCGTTGCCTCCTCCACATCCCCCTCATCCTCTTCTTCTTCTTCTTCTTCTTGTTCCTCCTCCTCCTCCTCCTCCACCTCCTCCTCCTCCTCCACCTCCTCCTCCGCCTCCGCCTCCGCCTCCGCCTCCGCCTCCCGCCTCCGCCTGCGCCTCCGCCTCCTCCTCCGCCTCCGCCTCTCCCCCTCTCCTCCCCTCCACCTCCTCCTCCTCCTCCTCCTCCTCCCTCCTCCTCCTCCTCCTCCTCTTCCGCCTCTGCCTCCCTCCTCCTCCTCATCCCTCCTCATCCTGCTCCTGGTCCTCCTCCTCCTCCTCCTCCTCCTCCTCCTCCTCTCCTCCTCATCCTCATCCTCCTCCTCCTCCTCCTCCTCTACCTCCACCTCCCTCCTCCTCCTCGTCCTCCTCGTCCTCCTCTTCCTCATCATCATCCTCCTCCCCATCCCTCCTCCTCCTCCTCCGCTCCTCCTCCTCCTGCTGCTCCCCCCTCACCCTCCTCCTCCTCCTCCACCTCATATCCTCCCTCATCCTGTCATCCTCCTCCTCCTCCTCCTCCTCCTCCTCCTCCTTCCTCTCCTCCTCCTCCTCCTCCCTCCTACCTCCTCAACTCCTCCTCATCTTCCTCTCCTCCTCCTCCTCCTCCTCCTCCTCCTCCCCCTCTCCTCCTCCTCCTCCTCCTCCTCCCTCATCATCATCATCATCACCATCATCATCATCACCATCACCATCCTCCTCATCATCCCATCCTCATCATCCTCATCCTCATCCTTCTCCTCCTTCCTCCCCCACCCTCCTCGCTCCTCCCCCCCCTTTCCCTTCCCCCCTCCTCCCTCCTCCTACCTCCGAGGAGCACGGGATCATTCACCAAGCCCACGTTCGACGACGACCTTGACGACGACGACGACGACGACGACGACGACGACGACGACGACGACGACGACGGCGACGGCGACGACGACGACGACGTTGACGACCGCATCCCTCCTCCCTCCTCTCCCCCCTTGTGCTCCGCCGGTCCTTGAGGGCCTCGAACCACTCCCGAATCACACCCACGACCATCTCCTCCGAGCCGGCCGCCGGGCTGGGAGCCCCCGGGGGTGCCAGGAGGGCCAACGCCTCCAGGACGCAGGGCGGCAGAGCAGAGCGCACTGTGGCAGACTACTGTCCCCCAGGCACAAGCCCAAAGACGAACCCCTGGACCGTCACCGTGCCGCTAACAGTAGGGACAGAGAGACAGCATCTGCGGTGAAGCCTGTTGACGGTGAGGCGCCGCCGCATGTCGTCGTGCTGCCACGAGGAGCGCTGAATCAGAAACAAAGGGGGCTTTTCTGGCTTGGCGGGCCTCGGCCACGAATAGTTTCCCCGATCTAGGGCTCAGGAAGGGCCCGAAAATCAGAACCATTCCTGCGGCCTCAATAGCCCTTATTTCAACGTCTTGACTGCACCGCGAGGCACCACTACAGATGCCTCCAGCCGAACTGGCACAGACGCAGCGACACCAATCCGATAGCAGAAGGCCCCCCTGCTCACTGTAAGCATCGGGCTTGCGCAGCGCCACAGCCTCATAGGCCATCCCTCGAGTATGAAGAGGTCGTGGGGTGAACAGCTTGAAGTTCGATGTGCATGTCGATGTGCATGTCGATGATACTTTCATTCGCATTCCAACGTTTATTTCGATCGCAGCCTGATTTTCATTTCGATGTTCAAGTCTGCATTTACATGTGCATTTCGATAGCAACTGCATTGCATTTCGATGTTCATGATGATTGTCATTTGACCTGATTGCCGATGTGCATTCACAGGTGCATTTCGATGTGCGCCTGAATGTGCATTACGACGTGCATGTCGATTGCAAGTGCATGTGCAACTCAACGAGCGTTTCGATGTGCATTCCGATTTGCATGCACATTGCACTTGTAGTTGAATTTCGAATGTCGTTTCGATGTGCATGTGGATGTGCATTTCGGTATGCGTTTCGATTGCAACTGGACTTGGATTCGATGCGCATTCGATACGCATGTCAATTGCAGCTGGAATTGAAGTTCGAGTTTCGAACTGAACCTTGATGCGAAGCTTGGCCACATGATGCCTTAACCCTTGGTGCCCAAGGGGGCTCTATGGCTAGTGCCCTATGGTGCCAGAATGTCTGCGAGTTCGCAGGCTTGCCCTGGTACTCCAGGGGCGGTGCTCTATGACTGGTGCCCTATGAAGCACTCATGGTCGCGATTTCTCGCTGTTGCCTTGATGTTCTACGCATGATGCTCCATGGATGGTGATACATGATACCTCATGCCTTCTCGTTGTTGCCCTGGTGTCCTACGGGCGGGGCTGTATAGTTTGCGCACCACGCTGCATGAATGGTGATGGTAGTTTATTATTGCACTGATACTTCATGAGTGGTGCTCTACTGCTGGCACCATATTGTAAGTATTTCAAGTGTTGTGATGTCCCAGCTTCAAGAGAGCCCATCTCGCCAGAGACCTCGAGTCTGGGACCCGACCCCGAGGCCTGCACCAGAGCGGCCAAAGCCGCGTGGCACACAAGACCGCCGCTACAGATCACACGACACAAATAGGAAACGGACCTCTGTACACCGACGCTTTTTGCGGCCCTGCACTGAAATTTGCACAGGAAAGCGGATCCTGGTATATACGGAATCCTTGTGTATACATTTGTCGTCGTTTCCCCGGGACAATGGGAAAAAAGTATACGCCACACCACCCCGACGTCGTACCCGGCACTCAAAAAAGTCCTGGGATTGAAAAGCAGCCCGACAATGGTAGTGTATACGTTGCAGTTTCCGAACACATCCTCTGGCTCCTCCCTTTCCCTCCTCCTCCCGCTCCTCCTCCCCATCCCTCTCCGCCCCTCCTCCCTCGCGCTCCTCCTCGTCCTTCTCCTCCATCCCTTCGCCTCCTGCCCCTCCTTCCCCTCCCCGGAGGCCCTGGCGGGCCGCCGAGACGAAGCTCGACGGCACTCCGAACACGGCTGGCGAGCGCACAAAGCTGGGCAGAGCACTGCTGGAGAAAAGAGCTACAGTCGGACTTTATTGGGCAGGACACGCGAGAGGACACAAGACCCTTCCGAAAGCCACATTGCCATAGGAATGTAGGAGGCATGGGTCGCGAGACACAGGGCACAAGGGTACCCTTGATTTGGCAGGGTCGACCTGCCGACTGTAGCGAAGAAACATCGCCAACCGGGAAGGACAGAGTGCAGGACATGAGGCCCGAATGGGTAAGCATGGGCCGGGCAGGCAGGAGTAACCGAAGAAGAAGAAAGGATGGGCCGAGCAGCCCTGGTTAGGCACTTCGTGACAGACCGCATCCCACTCCTCCTCAGCCTTCTCTTCCTCTTCTTCCTGCCCCCCTGGCACTCCGGGGCCGAAGCTGGGTGGTCAAAAACAGCCAAGCGAGATCGAAGAACCGTGGACCGGCACTCTTCGGGATGCCGAATCGGAGGCCGATGGATCAGGGGGTACGGACTCGCCCAGCTGGTTTTGAAGAATGACGCTCCAGCAACCCGCGCTCGCGCAGTGCCAGGTCAAGCGCTGTGCTGACGCCCTCGTGGAAGGCCTTGACCGCATTCACCTTAGAAGCACAACTGATTCTTCCCTGAGAAAACCCCCGATGGTGAAAACTGTCAGCTTCCCAACTCACTGGAACTGCACTGCACCATGATCAAACAGGCCGAGGAGAAGGAGCACAATGTATGAGACAGGTCACAAATCAAATGGGCAACGTGATTGCCAACATGATCGAAGCACGAGCCCCGAAAGGGATATAGAAATGTGAAGCGCGTGGAAATTGCTCAAGACACCAAATTTGGGCGACGGACAATTGCCATGCTCACGGTAGCGATGGTAATGTACAACGCCAGGGGTTGTGCTGTGCTGTGCTGTGCTGACCTGAGACGCGCCGCGTCCAAGCGCTCTGCTCTATTGCATTGTGGATCAGATCGTCCATGGCGCCAGAATCGCGATCGAACTGATATGGATCTCAAGCTCGAGCTGCCTGAACACATAACTCAGATTTGGCCGCAATCGATACGCACAGGGCGCTCGACCAGCTAGAGCTCAAGATCCGATTCCATTCGGGAGCGAGACGAACCGAAAGGGGGCGAATCTGACAGTTCTGTGCCCTGTTCTGTCGTGGATCAAATCTTCCCTTGCATCCGAATCCTGACAGAACAGCACTGGGCCTCAAGCTGGAGCTGCCTGGGCGCACTGCTCGCCCAAAGCTGATTGCAATCGAGACCTTATGAAAGGATTATGTTCCGCAACAGGTCGACATGAGAATGGCGAGTCCAAACCGAGGCGAAATGCATCAAGAAGGGGCGGGCCGAAACGCCGACGACCACAACCGCGGCGGACGGCGACGACCTCGACAGCGGTTTCAGCTCGGGGCCACTGTGTTAGATATCCGCCTGGCCCGCACACGTGAAAACAAGTGCTCCAGCTCGGGGCCACCAGGCTAGATACCCCAATGGGAAATCTGGAAAGCAGCCAGCCGGAGAAACCGTGCCAAGCTGTTGCACGTCTGGTGTCGATGTGTTGACTTCGTCTGGCTCTTGTGGCCCCCCCCCCACGCTGGGGGCGCCCGGGCGACCTCGTGTTAGACCTCATCTTAGATAGCCTCTCGGGTGGCCCGCACACGTCGAGCCACGTGGCTCCAGGTCGGGGCAACCAGGTTAGATACGTCAGATTCGTGTCGTGCCGGCTTCGGCGTTGGTTTCTGACACCAGGGGGATCGTTCAACCTTGAACGATCGGCTGTTTGCGAAACGTCCAAACCGTTCCACGTCGAACGATTCTGGGTCGCCCGCGGCGTTCAACGTTGAACGCCGCTGGCAGGGTCGCCGCCGGTCGACACGACAAGAACCTACCGTACCCCGCTGGGCGACCTGGGCACGTGAAAACACGTGGCCCCAGCTCGGGACCACCAGGTTAGATACCCCTTCTGGGCGGCCTGGGCGTGTGGAGACACGCGGTTCCAGCTTGGGGCCACGATGTCACATACCTTTTTTTTGGGTTGGCCTGGGCATCTGAAGACACATGGTTTCAGCGAGGAGCAAGAGGCAACCATCTTGGATAGTACCCCCCCCCCCTGGGGGCCTGGACACGGTAAGAACACGTGGTTCCAGATCGGGACCACCATATTAGATACCCCCTGGGTGGCCTGGACACGTAAGAACACGTGGCTCCAGCTCAGGACCACCATGTTAGATATACCCCTGGGCAGCCTGGACACGTAAAAACCAAGGTTCCAGCTCGGGGCCACCATGTTAGATACCCCTCTGGGTAGGACCGCCATGTTAGATATCCCTCTGGGTGACCTGGACACGTGAAAAACACATCGTTCCAGCTCGGAGCCACCATGTTAGATACCCCTCTTGGAAGCCTGGGCACGTGAAAACACGTGGCTCCAGCTCGGGACCACCATGTTAGATACCACAATGGGAAATCTGGAAAATCACCCGCCGAAGAGACTGAGTCGATGTATTGATTTCGTCTGGCTCTTGTGGGCCCCCACGCTCGGTCTTCCAGACGACCATGTGTTGGATACCCCCGCTCTGGTTGGCCCGCACACGTGAAAACGCATGGTTCCAGCTCGGGGCAACCATGTTAGATACCCCTTCTGGGTGGCCTTGGCAGGTAAAACCACGTGGTTCCAGCTCGGGGCCATCATGTTAGATACCCCACCTGGTAGCCTGGACATGTGAAAACACGTGGTTCCATCTAAAAGCAACCATGTCAGATACCCCTGAGGTGCGTCCTGGACATGTGAAAACGAGCATTTCGCCTGAGACATCTGGCCCCAAGGAGAAGAGCAACCATTGGAAAAAACAAGCGTTCTGCACGAGACACCCTCAATAGATTCTGCAAAACAAGCGTTTCGCTCGAGATGGCATTTCAAAAAAAACAGCGTTTGAGCTAAGACAACCTCAAATGTTCATCCACCAACCTCACGCGACCTTGTTATCTATCCAGGAAAGAATCCGACGGCCCTACAGGAACTTGGCACCAGGGACAGATTAACAAACTAAATGAGAAATTTTGGGCCCACGCCCTTTCCGGGAAAAATAGCATGGCAGAGGGGAGGAGGAGGACGAGGAGGAAGAGAGAGAGAGAGAAAGAGAGCAAATACTGCAATGCAGGGCCATAGGACAAGCAGTGCAGCGTGAAACAGATTTGATCGGGGCTTCCAGGCGCATTCCATGCACCGAAAAACACTAGTCGAGCTCCTGAAACTCACTGAAAAAGGGAAATAGCACAGCGCACTATGTGTGTTCATATCAACCCCCAGAGGCCTAAGCGGCCAGCGAAAGCACACACAGCCTCAGAAAGGGGGAGGGAGAGAGGAAAGGCGGGCCCGCCGCTTGGAATGCGAAGTGAATCGGCTTGACGTTTACATCCAGCCAGAACAAATGCAAATCGAAAGCGTGCTTGCTGCTGTGTGCGCGGAGGCAAACGGTGAGGTCTTGAAAAACTGTGCCAAACTCGACGGTGTCTGTCTCGCCGTGCTACAATCGCGAGTATACGGCTTTAGGACCCGACAAGTTCCACACCTGCCCGATTGAACGCGTGCTCATAGCGATTCGAAATTCAAAACATGATCGACCCGCGAACCTGGAAAGGGACATAGAAATGTGAAGCATGGCGATTGTTCAAGACACCGATGGTGATGTACAGTGCCAGGGGCTGTGCTGTGTTCTGCTGTGCTGTGCTGAACTGAGACGCGCCATGCCACGTCGAAGTGATGTGCTATATTGCACGGTGGATCAGATCGCCCGTGGCATCAGAATCTCGATCGAACTGATATGGATATTAAGCTCGAGCTGCCTGAACTCATAGTTCTGATCTGACCGCCATCGAAACGAACGCGGGGCGCTCGGACATCTCGAGTTCAAGATCATATGCAGTTCGGGAGCGGAACGAACCGAAAGGAGGCGAATCTGAATAGTTCTATGCCCTGTTGCGACGTGGATCAAATCTTCCCTGGCATCCGAATCCTCACAGAACTGAGCTGGGCCTCAAGCTGGAGCTGCCTGGGCGCATAACGCCAACGACGACAACGACGGCCAACGGCGACGACCGCGACCACGGTTCCAGCTCGGGGCCAATATGTTAGATATCCACCTGGGTGGCCTGGACACGTGAAAACACGTAGTTCCAACTTGGGACCACTATGTTAGATACCCCAGTGGGGAATCTGGAAAATCACCAGCCGAAGGTTATTACACACCTGGTGTCGATGTATTGATGTGCCTGGTTCTTGTGGGCCCCCACGCTGAAGGGGCCCAGACGACCACATGCTAGATGTCAGATACCCCCCCTGGGTGGCCCACGCACACAAAAACACTTGGATCCAGCCTTGGCCAATTAATCCTAGATACCCCTCTGGGTGGCCTGGACACGTGGAAACACATAGTTCCAGCCTGGTGGGTGCCACCATGTTAGATACCTTTCTGGATGGCACGGGCACATGGAAACACGTGGTTCCAGCTTCGGGCCACCAGATAAGATACCTGTTCTGCGTGGCCTGGGCACGTGAAAACACATGTTTCCAGCGAGGGGCAAGAGGCGACCATCTTAGAAATCCACCCCTTCGCGGCCAGGACACGTAAAAACACGTGATCCCAGCTCGGGACCACCATAATAGATATCCCCCTGGGTGGCCTGGACACATGAAAACGCGTGGCTCCAACGCGGGACCACCATCTTTGATGATTACCCCGCTGGGTGGCCTGGACAAGTGAAGACACGTGGTTCCAGCCCGGTGCCACCAAGTGAGATACCCCTCTGGGTGGCCTGGGCACGTGAAAGCACGTGGTTCTAACCTCGAACCACAATGTTGGATACCTTTTCTGGATGGCCTGGCAAGATGAAAACACGTGTTCCAACGAGGAGCACGACGCAACCATCTTAGATATCCACCCATGGGCGGCTAGGACACGTAAAAACACGTGATTCCAGCTCGGGACCTCCAATGTGTACGTATATATATATATATAGGTATACACCTACACAACTGATATACATATACATATACCTAAGCATATACATACGTGTGTACTCGTACATACATATATACATACATGCATACATACATGCATACATACAGTAGCTACATACATATACATATACATATACATATACACATACAAGCTACATACATACATACATACATAGCTACATACATGCATAGCTACATACATAGCTACATACATACATAGCTACATACAAGCCTGGTTGATCTGCTGCTGGAGCGAGGGAGTACGGACAGCCGACTTCTTCGCTGCATCGATGCGATCTTGATACGACTTGTGCCAGGACAGTGTCGCCCAGCTTGGTGGCAAGGGCGACCATCTGCTCCAGGTCCGCGTGAGGGCCCCCTCCAGCACGAGGACTGACAGGACCAGGCGGAAGAGGAGGCTTGCCGTGTGAGGCAGCACCAAGATCCCGATGGGGGAGGCACAGCTTCACTACGTACGGTATGACTCACGGAACTGCCTGACTCTCACTACTGCCCCAGCCTGCTGCCGAGAGATCGCACTGACGACAACTCTGGAAACCGGAATGGCCCGATCAAGTGTAGACCTCAACCTTGGGTTGGGCCCCAGGCCTCATCTGCAGGCTTGGAGGATCAACGTTTTTGCGGGTGGAAGGAAACAGACAAGATCCAGCTTCGAGCCGCACCCTTAAGGCCACTCCTCGCACTTCAGCAAAAGAAACTACTGAACGTTTCTCCGAGCAGGGACCCCAGGGATTTAGGAGGAGGAGGGGGAGAGTATGGAGACCCAATGGCTGTCGAAAACGGAAACCAACCGTCGGAGGGTTAGGGAAAAGAGGAACAAACAGCCATCAGAGACGACGGCGACGACGTTAGACGAAGGCGGCGACGGCCACAACGACACAACCAATGGGGGGGAGGAAGAGGAGGGAGGTTGAAGGCAGCGAGGACTGATGAGGAAGGAACGACGGGAGATAGGAAGCAAAGGAGGAAGACGAGGAGATAGAGAGAGAGAGAGAAATCGAAAAAAAACGGGGGAGCGAGAAAGGTAAGGAGACAGAGAAGGAATGGCGTCAGGGGGGAGGACAAGGAGGAGCAGGAGCAGGCTGGCTGCAGATGCAGCTTTGCTGGGTCCTCCAACCAGGAGGGCACTTCCTCGGAGCCTTGCACTTCAACTCCACCTCTCGAGCCATTCTGCGAGCTGGCACCGCGACTGAGGAGCCCGCCGGCGGCGCAGGGCAACCTCCAGGCCGGGCGTCTGCCGCTTCCTGCGCCGCGTGCCTCGCCAGCTGCCGCGCCTGTGGGCGATCGATCGAGCCCTGCCCCGACGTCCCGCAGCATTCCTGCATCAGAACCTATACTCCCGAATCCTGCAACAAAATACAGCATGTAGGGAAACGAACTCTACACACCGGCGGTTTTGCCGACCCCGCGCTGACATTCGCACAGGAACGCGGATCCTGATGTATACGGGATCCTGGTGTATACATTTTTCGTTGTCTCCCTCGGAAAACGGGGAAAAAGTATACACCACACCACCCCGACGGCGTCCCCGACACCCGACCATCATAGTTCATTTTTTGTCGGCGTCTGTGGCGGGCTTTCTTATGCAATTCAGCTCATATTATCCAACCATCTTATCTTATCCAACCCATCCTGTCCCATCTTATCTTATCCCACCCAATCCAATCCACCCAACCCAATCCATCAATTAATTTGTTTCTGCGCCTGCGGCGGGCCAATCCAATCCATCTTATCATATCCAATCCAAGTCCTCCAATCCAATATGTATAATCTTATCCAATCCGTCTTATCCCATCTAATCCAATCCACCCAACCAAATCCATCAACTCATTTTTGTCGGCGCCTGCGGTGGGCTTTCTTATCCAATCCAGCTTATATTATCCAACCCATCTTGTCCAGTCCAATCAATATTATATTATCCAACCCATCTTGTCTCATCTTATCTTATCCCACCCAATCCAATCCCTCCAACCCAATCCATCAATTCATTTGTTTCACCGATAGGTCGGTCGACGGATAGGTAGATAGTGGGATCTCATCGTCATCGCGATCATCATTGTGGTGGAGGGAGACTCTGCTACAGAGGGAGAGAGAGAGAGAGAGAAGGCGAGAGAGAGAGAGACAGAGAGAGAGACAGAGAGAGAAAGAGAGAGATGAGATCAAGGTGACAGGCTGGAGGTCAGTCAGAGTGGGCATTTAATCTCAATCCCCCCCAATCTCCTTATCGCCCGCAGGGCGGTCGTATAGGCAATGGATATCTTCCAGTTTCCGACAATATGCTGCGCAGATGTTCTCATCTGCGCAGCCAACACGTGCTGCACTTATGGCAAGCGAACAAGCCCGCTCTCACCCAAAACGGCAAGCCCGAATGACCGACAAGTGCAAGAATGTTGGCAACTGTTGCCTGTAGGGGCGCAGGGACGCAAGACAACGATTGGATATTCATGGACAGTTCAGAGGCACCCCATGAATGCAACAAACGTCTGTTCAGGGCCAGGTCCAGGGCGGGAGGGGGCGGGGACGGACCACGGAACACTTTTTTTTTGTCTGCGGGTCGAGAGCGAGCCTCTTCCGGTTAAAAGCCAGGCGGGCTACGCAAAGCTCTAATTGGGGAGACAGAGCGCAGGCGGGCGGGGCCTCAGGCGGCCGGAGGGCGGGCCGGGGCGCAGGCGGTGCCGAGGAGCTAACCACGGAACGCAGGGGCGGAGGCGAGGACTGGTGGGGGCGGGAGCCAGGGGGGCCGTGGGCCGGGCGACGAAAGCGCACGGCGGGCGGGCGAAGAAGTGGAGAGCCCCAGGGCCCCGGGGGCCGAGGGAGGCGAGCGAGGTCGCGGACCTGCGGGCGGAGGGAGCAGGGCCAGGGCCGGGTGGCCAGCGAGCCGGGAGCACGACCAGGCGGAGCGAAGGCGAAGGCGAAAGACGAGCACAGGAGCCAGAGCGCTCGCTCTCCGTCAGGGTCAGCGGGGAACGGGGGCGCGGCCCCACTGGGCGGGGTGCTGCAGTGGCCAGGGGCGGCGAGCGACCGGACAGGAGGGCGCGGACGACGAGCGACGAGCCAGGGTCAAGACTAACGATGGCATGGCGGGGGCCTGGGGCCAGGGTGCCGAAGACGAATCGGGCGAGCGAACATGTACGGCTCCGACCTCTCTCTCTCTCTCTCTCTCTGCACTCTGGAACGCACCTGCGCGAGAGAATGACAAGCCAATCTCTACAACATTGTTCCGGAAAACGGAAAACAACACATAAAACAAATTCAGTAACATACCAGATCGAGATAGTATGGAAACACGATGTCACAATGTATGGCGTCGCGCTGCCTTGCTTGAGATAGCATTGTTTTGTTATGAGCACGTTTGCCCCACACTGCAAAACATTGAATTTGCATTGCATCGCCTGACGTTGCAGTCCTGTGCTTGGTGTACTGAATATTGTTTGACATGACGTTGCTTTAATGCGTGGTGTTTTACGCTGCGTCGCCTTACTGCGCCGCACGTTTCGTTATACTTAAAACCGATAGCACGTGCTTAATGTACTGAGACGCGCTGCGTGTAATTGAGTTTCCTCGCGTTGCATCGCGTCGCACTGCAACGCACAGCAACAAAAGGCAATACAGCGCCAAATAAACGCAATGAAATCAACAAAAAACACAAAGGTGCACAAAACAATACAAATATCGGAACAATGTGTTCGAAAACTTTCGTGGCGCAAGGCATTGGAATCCTACGCAATGCGAAGCAATACACATGCGAAAAAAAACACGATGGAATGCAATACAAAACAATAGGCCAGGAAACAGAAAAAACAAGGCATCGCAACGCAAGTGAAAACAGTACTAACCAACGCAATGGAACTTACGCATTGCAACGCGAAACGAACAAAAACATAACAGAAACAACTGGCGAGGCATTGCGTGGAACACCGGCGCAAGCGTTACACGCAAATCGTGTATTCTTCGCCACGTGTCGCTTGCTTTGTAGGCTGCACCCTTCCGCGTCGCCGAATGTCGCTTGTCGCTTTTTCCCCTTCTCCCTCGCATTTTCTTGCGTTTAGATTCCTCTACGTTCTCTCTCTCTCTCTCACTTTCTCTCTCTCTCTCTCTCTCTCTTTCTCTCTCTCTCTCTCTCTCTCTCTCTTTCTCTCTCTCTCTCTCTTTCTCGATATGTTTCCTCTGTCTCCTTGTCTCATTCTCTCTCCCTTCCTCTCTCTCTCTCTCTCTCTCTTTATCTCTCTATTTCTCTCTTTATGTATGTATGTATATAAATATGTATCTGTATGAAAAAAAATCGCGCATCCGCCATTTTCGTTTCGTTCCCTGGGCGGAGGTAATGCGCACGTCAAAGCAGCCACTTCGCAGGTGAATCAGCACACGAATTGGGCGTTGCGTCGTGCCAGCGATCTCATGAAGTTCGCATCGACTAAAAAGAAAGGAACGTCAGCGTGGACTCTTCGAATGGACGATTTGACGGGTGTTTTTCTTGGCCGTTTCTCCGATCTGAAGATCAACGAGAGGCCTTGGGGGGGCCGTTCAAGCTTGCGAAACCGATGCCTTTAATTCTTCTTTTCGAACACTCGCCCACTCCGAAGGGGTTAGTGCGCGGCCCCCGTGTTCACGTAGATTTCGCCGTCGCGGGCCTCGGTCACTCGAGGCAAGTATCCGGCGAAGTAATTATTATCCTGTCTCCTCTTCTCTCCTCCCGCCTTCGTCGTCCCCCCTTCCTTCGCCTCTTTTTTCCAGCACTGTGCATCCGATTGTGCCCGATCGTCAAAGACCTCTCTCTTTTTTGCCCTCCCCTCCCGCTCCCCTCTGTTTCACTGAGACGTGGCTCGACGTTTCGACTAAATTTCCAGATATGCCGGACTATGTTCTTGTGGCGCGGCGAAATCGCGAAGGTCTTGGCGGTGGAGTCGCGATATTCGCACGAGTTTCTATTGCCAGTGTGTGTTGTATGATTTTAACATCACTTGTTGCTGAGAGAGTGTGACTGGTAGTTAATAGCGATACAGGCCCCATTTTGACGTGCCGTTGGCGTAGGCCTTGTTTAAACGAACTTGAGTCCATTAATTCGCTGTCTGCCGAATGGCCCGGCCAGCACAAACCATTGGCACAGTCATAGTTGGAGATATGAATGTGCACCACACGACGGTTGCGTCATAACCAAAATATTTATCCTGAAGGCTCTGCTCTATACCAGCGGTGCCGCACGAATGGCTTCAGAGAGCGCACAAGGCAACCAACGAGATGTGAGCATTTACTGACCACACGTTAGCTAATATGCTTGCCGCCGTTGCAATTCGAAACATGGACGAGACAAGCTGAAATCGTTTAAACACAACCCTGTCTGAATATAGCTGGAATTGGATCGATAGATCTCATCCAAATATTGCTGCACCGTGCCTTACGCAAATATTTAAGGTCGCATGCTTCTCTACATCCTACGCACCACTGCACGGCATTAAATAACGCACCCGATGGACGAACGCTGCGTAGAGTCTGCGCGTCGGATGCGGGACGCTGCCGGTACATATCGTTTTCCTCGGGGGGCGGTTGCTGGTTGCAGGGCTACATTCTTGCGCGCAAATCAAGTATATACCGTGTGCACTCGTAATAAACTTCGTCGTTTTTTGTTACACGCTGCCTCCCAGAAAAAAAAACCACACGGTCACAACAGCGCCTGGATGCACTAAAATTGGAGAGTAGAAAGAAAATGCCGGAAAAAGAAATTAAGAATATTATTTTCGCGAACCAAACTTCGCCATCGTGGTTGGCAGCACGGCGGGCCGGACACCGGTCGAAGAAGCACCCTTGAACGCTTTCTCCGCTCTGTTGCCATAACTGAACAAACAAAAAAAAAAAAAAAAAAAAAAAAAAAAGGCGTTGTTCTACTTATCCCTGGCTTCTCTGGCTCGCCGAAAAGACATCGCCATGCTCGGTGTCATTCGCCGTGCTGTGCTCGGCCTCGGCCCTCCCCACTTTTTTTTACAAACAGACGAGCAAGCGGCCGCCGATCGAAAAGGGACACCTTGCACTAATTACCAACAGAAAGGGACGGGGACGGAAAAGAGAGAGAGAGAAGGAAGGGGGTAAAAAGTAAGGAACGAGGGAAACAAACGACAGCCTGCTCACGCCGGCGCCCACGCATGATGGGCGAACAGCGCGAAAAGCGAAGGACTGGCGCCACGACAGCAAAATGCGCCACTCGCTGGCACCACAAACGAAAAGAATAAAGTCAGGGAAAACATTATAAATGCAAACGGCACCAAATGCTGAGCGTAAAAACAATCACATGCTGTCAAAGGCGGTCGTGTCTGTGTCTTCTAGGAGCCCTGGCCAGCGGC